ATCAGTGATTCAAGTAGAGTATAACCAAGATAAATGAAAATAATTAAAAAGTGCAACTTTGATGTTTTTCGTAAAACTGAAAACTTGGTGAAACTTAGTGCGAAAATCGTTGGGATAAATTTTCCCGCCCAGCTTTTCGAATTTCGAATTTCCCTCTTCCCAATTTGCTAAAACCACAAGATCATTTAATCGAAGTATTAAAGACATTTTTTTGGGTTTTCCTCTATTTGTTATCTTCCATTTTCTCTCTCTCAAATCATTATCTCTCTCTCTCATTCCTATCCTCGAACTCACACAGAAATCGAGATGTCCACCGCTTCATCTTCCACGACCGGTGGTCGGACACGAGTACGAACTCCGGGAATACCTATTAAGTGCTGGTGCGGGGTGGGAATCACCGAGCTCATCTCGAAAAGCAAACCAAACCCGTTTTGCCAATATTATTGGTGTCTCTATGTGGCTTCACTAAGGGTATTATCCGTTTATCTTTTACTTACTTTCGAAAGATTACCAATTACGCTTACGAATTACGCTTACTCGTTTTGAAAATATCCATGTCATAGCTCGAGAACGATAATCACGTTTTCAAATGGGTTGATGAAGCTTTCACCGATGAGATACAATAGTTGGATTGCCAAGTTCGAAGGCTCGAAGAAGAAGTTAAACTTCTCAAAGCAACAATAAGGAGTGAAGGTCCGATGACGAGTTCCAAGATATCTGGAGGTTGTGTTCTTCTTACAGTCATTTTAGTTCTAGGAATTATGATGTACAATAAGTAATTCCTGGAAAACTTTTCTGTTATTGTTATGTTTTTTCTAAGTTAGACAACAATGTAACACCAACGAAATTCAACTTTGTCATAAGTTTAGAAAGTTGAACAATTGATTAAGTGAAACTATAAAGTTGGAAAATAGAGTGATCGAAAATAGAACAATAGAGATAGTTTCACCAACATCAACACATAGTTTTATCGACATTTAAACAAAGTTGAATCCAACATTAAACATTTACACGAGACCTTCAACCCCCATATTTCTGAACATAAGGGTCGCTGTTTAGAAGAGACTGCTTGAATTCCTCAACCTCGGGCAAATGCGGATTGAACCTGAAGTCCGCAAATTCACCTTCGGTCTCAAGCCATATTTCAGGAGGACCAAAATAACATGTATAAGTGATTTAGTAAAAGTTCTACTTAACTATCACATTTAAAACTAGTCACAGAAACAACACTTGCGCATAAATTTCCAGACTCTCCACATCTTAAGGGCCACAATCACCTGTCTACGACCCCCACCACTCAGGTAATCAAGACCATCCCGGAAGGCATATGCCTGATCGCCGGTCACCACACATTTTATCTGATGGTCACTATTCAGAATAAAGAAAAAGTTGGTCAGTTACAATATATATATATATATATATATATATATATATATATATATATATAAATTTTACTTGGATCATATGTTACTTTATACTCACATGTTGTCCCTTATGTAAAACTCCATCCTTGGACCTGAAGGGGCATCGAGATATGCTTCCGTGTTGAAGACCTCCCATTGTATCTACCATATAAGTGTTACTCAACTAAATCAGTTTGTTTCACTTACATCTACAGAGTTATACAAAGTTCTGAAACCAAGATATGCGACTGTTGAGATTACCAACATACATATGGGATATATGTGGTCACGCTAGTGCATGCGAGGGATTTCATGGGTGCTTTTGAAGTCCAAGAAAAGACGACTGTTCAGAGGTTCGATGATGCGGACTTGCGTACAGCGCGAAGCATTTAGTCTGAACGGAGAGCTAGTTGGCTGGAAACATGGGTAGGTCCGTTCAACTTCTACCACAAAGATTTCCACCCATCTTCCCTCTTCCTTCTCAAGGCCTCTAAAATTTGGATAATCCCCATCAGTGGTCATCTCCATCTTGTATCCCTACATAAATAAAGTACAAAGATCATGTTTATTACATGTTACAAGGATCAAGTTTTTATTTCTCACGGTTACATGTTTATTACACACT